GGTGGGGAGGGGCAGGCAGGGGCCCAGAGCCCTGGTTCTGCCCCCCCCTTCCCAAGCTGGGCTGACTGCTCCTGGTTCCAGTGACAAAAAGTCTGCGCTGCGCCGTGTCCCTGTGACCCAATAACCCTTCTGCTCTACCTACCGCCTGAGAGTCCCGCCTGGCAGCGGTGGGGTACAGGACCCGGGGACTCCCGCACACCCCCTGCCAGCAGCCAAAGCACCAGGCAATGCCAGTGGAGGCGGGCTCCGCGAGAAAGGAGCCGCTTTTGCCACACTGGGGAGGTTTTATGGACTTTTAAAAAAATCTTCCAGGTTCTTTTCAACCAATTTCTTTCCTGGATCTGACTTTCTTGACGCCTGGAAAGTCTCTACGAAAGACAGTGGAAACGCGACACTTTATTCACTTCTCCCAACGTCCAGCCATCTCCGCAAGACAGAAGCCTTCATCCTGGTGGGGGAGCCGCTTTTGCCACACTGGGGAGGTTTTATGGACTTTTAAAAAAATCTTCCAGGTTCTTTTCAACCAATTTCTTTCCTGGATCTGACTTTCTTGACGCCTGGAAAGTCTCTACGAAAGACAGTGGAAACGCGACACTTTATTCACTTCTCCCAACGTCCAGCCATCTCCGCAAGACAGAAGCCTTCATCCTGGTGGGTCTCGGAGTAGTAGACACCCCCGCTATCTGCCGGCCAGGGTGCAGCCACCTCTGGGGTGGCACGTCCCAGCGCTCTGCCCCTCACTGTGGCATTCAGCGAAGAACTGCATCGGCAGCTGACGCTCCGGCAGGGCCGCAGCGGACCGAGACGATCTGTGCTGCAATCGGAGCAGGACACCGAGCTAGTGAGGTTGCCTCTGAGTCTTTTACTGACCGTGAGGGGGCGGAGCGTTGGGCGGGGCCATTTCTCCACAGAGAAGAGCGCCCCCTACTGAATCGCCAATTGCTCCTCCCCCAGCTGGCTTTCCCGTGGAGTGGCCCCTTGAGGCAAGGCCAGATACGACCGAGCTGCGCAGGGAGGACAACCTGGAAAACACTCCGACCCGACGCAGGAACTCGCCCGGCTGCTCCCCCTGCGCTAGCATGTTCAGCTACTGCAGAAAGAGGCAGTGGGGCTGGAGCGAGGCTGGGGACATGAAAGGCCCGGCAGAGGGAGAGATTAAAGAGCCCAGGCTGGGAGGAGAGATGAGAGAGGAATATGAAATGATCAAGGAGCTAAGGACAGGCCGCGTCGCTCCTGTTTACCTTTCCCCGGCACATCAGGACGTCCCCAGCAGGCGGCCGTTTGTGCCTTTCCGAAGGAGAGGGACGTGCTGCAGACGCGGGCCACGTTTCACGGGCAGCGTGGCCCAGGGCTCGGGGGCCTGGCTGAGGAACTGGAGCCACCCGCAGGGGCGTGGCGCCCGAGGCGGCGACGGAGGAAGACGACGGATCTTGCCAGCCGTAAAATGCCGCCTTTTCCCCCACTGGCCTTCCCCTGGCACGGCTGCGGC